TGCATCTATCCATGATAAAAGTGCATCCATCCATCATAAAAGTGCATCTTTCCATCATAAAAGTGCATCTATCCATCATAAAAGTGCATCTGTCCATCATAAAAGTGCATCCATCCATGATGAAAGTGAAAAATATTCATATTTAAAGCTTCGGGCAGGCCATTCACTGCCATTATAAAGCTTGAAAGAGCCAGGACATTTTTTTAATATAACTCTGATTGTGTTCGTCTGAAAGAAGAATGTCATATATAACTAAGATGGCTTGAGGGCGAGTAAATCATGGGCTAATTTTCATTTTTGGGTGAACTATCCCTTTAATAGATTACGTTTTTTACATGTGTTCTTCTTCAGGGTTTGTATCCCGAGTCTCATGGGATCGTGTGCAACTCCATGTATGATCCCGTGTTCAAAGCTCATTTCCGACTGAGAGGCCGAGAGAAGCTCAATCACCGCTGGTGGGGGGGGCAGCCCGTGAGTCATGACTCCGCCCACACACGGCTCTCGGCCAATCACAGCAGAGACAGCAGGATAGCTCACATAGGGATTATAATCTCATCTGCATATTTAAGGTGTAAAGTAGATGAAATTTACATGTGAACACTAAATAAATTATCAAGCTCAATTTGGGTTTGCATGGAAAGCCTAGTTGCAAATTTAGAAGTGGATCCATGTTTAATATTTTAAACTGTTTTTGTCTGTTTGTCTTCTCAGATTTGGATCACGGCAGAGAAACAGGGCGTGAAAGCCGGAACTTTCTTCTGGCCCTGGTGAGATCACAGTATTCATTTAATCTGCTTCATATTATTGATTTCAGATCTTAATGGTTATAATGTTCTACAGTGTACTGATTAATCAGAACTATCAGCTGTTTCTTCAGCAAAGTTTCATTTTAAATGAGGTTTTCTTCTCAAATCAGCATTCTGTGTTTGGAGCAAAGCTCAGAGTGTCACTGCAAGAGACTCATGACACAACCAACACATGATTCAAACAAAGACCTCACACACACACACACTCTCTCTCTCTCACTATCTCTCTCTCTCTCACACACACACACACACACACACACACTCATTCTGTCCCAATCGTCATGTTCTTCTCTGAAGAGCTTCATTCGCTTGAGTTCTGAAGAAGTGACCAGCCACTCGTGAACAAGATCTCTGACGTCTGTCTGTGTGTGCTTAGAAAAGACGTTGTTTCTGAAGGCCTGAATAAACACATGTCTGTCTGTCTGTCTGTCTGTCTGTTTCTCTGTAGGGTGATTCCTCTGGAGAGGAGGATTCTCACTATTCTGCAGTGGCTGCACCTGCCTGATGACGAGAGGTGCGTCATTTCACCTCTTACTGGGAAAAAACATTCTTATGATAGAATCTCACAAAATTATGTTTTATTAACAAAGTTCGGGAGAAGCACGTTCAGATAATTAACCTAGTTTTCATGAGAGGAGCTCATCCAGTCAACTCAATTAACATCAGGAGGTATATATACAGCAGTTTTTACCGCTGTTCTTTTACAGTTTTCCAGCATCCCTCATACTAGAAACTTTCATGAAGGTGTGTTGGAACTGGTTGGAGCTAAACTCTGCAGGACAGTGGCCCTCCAGGACCTAGTTTGGTGACTCCTGGTCTACACCCTGAGCTGAACACCAGCTGGATAAGATAGACATTTTTTTAGCCATAAAGGCGCCTGGAGGCGCCAGAGATCATGTTCGTGACCTCTCAGGAGAGACGTGAAGGCTCCCGTCGAGAGGCCACAGATGGAGGTTCCACCACTTAGGTTAGGGATGCCAAATTGCCCCTCCCACCTGGGGAAGGTGGTCCCCCCTCAGTGGGATTGGCTATGGAGCTGCCGACAGCAGCCGAATTATCCCCGGGAACCACGGCTGGCTCTGCCGCAGTGGTGCCACCAGCAAAATCAAGCATCTGTCCTCCCTGAATCAGTTGATGGCCTGAGGGAGCAGAGCCACCTGTGGGCTAATGCTTCCCTTTCCTTCAAGAAAATTTGGGGCAGTGGGAGTTCTCCTCCAAAGCAAAGAGGTCCACCTCTGCCTGCCTGAAAAAGCTCCAGATCATGCGAACCGTCTGGGGGTGGAGGCTCAGTTCCCTTGGTGGTGGTCTGTTTCGCGTCAGGATTTCTGCTCTTGTGTTAATGGCTCCTGGCACGTGAACTGCTCTTACTGAGCAAAGGTTGGTCTGTACCTGTTCAGCGGGTGGGACCTGAGACCCCCTTGGTGATTTATGTGGACCACTGTTGTATTGTTCATCCGGACCAGAACATGGTGCCCACTGAGTTCTGACTGGAACTTCTTGAAGGCCAGAAACACTGCCATCATCTCTAGGCAGTTTATGTGCCAGTCCGACATTGGCCCCGTCTAGGAGCCAAAGGCCGGCCTGCCGTCACATAGGGCACCCTAATCCATCTTGGAGGCAACTTTTCTTCAGGAAACAGAGCCTAGTTCCACCCCCAACTGATACAGATTGGGTGATTTCCAGGGGACCAAGATCTTGGTGCAACTGTGGTTCTCCCTGAGAATGAGGCGGCCTTCATGGGACAGCCAATGCTGTAGTGGCCGCATATGTAACAGGCCCAAGGGAACTACCGAGGAGGCTTCTGCCATAAGGCCCAGTAGCTTCGGGGAGGTAGTCCCCACTTGTAAATGATGCCGACAGCCTCTGAATTTTCTGGGAGCTGCGGCGAAATCCAGGCCCGCATCTGGGTCGAATTGAAGACTGCCCCATGAAAACGAGATGCGTTGGGTAGGGGACAGCGAGCTTTTGCTTAAATTGATCCGGAACCCCAGACTTTCTAAATGGCTGAGGAGCAGGGATCTTTGCGCGCATAGATCAAGTGTGCGACTGGGCTAAGAACAGGCAATCATTGAGGTAATTCAGCTATCCTTGCATTTCGTACAATTATGTGGAGCCAGCGACTGTCCGAATGGCAGGACTATTTCCAAAACTCAATCTGATACACCGGGGATGGCCAAGCCTGGCTCCCGATGGGAGGAGGTGTTGAAGAGTCACACGTGGCAGGGAGCTGATGCTTGTAATAGGATAAAGAAGAGGAGGAATGCTCTTTTTGTGTAGGTGTTTGTTTTTTTATTTGATTCGCAATAACAGCGTAAGGAGATCTTGGCACACATATCACTGGTGGGACGAGCCCAGTACCTCCAACGCCCGGAACTGAACAGGGGGTTGGGAGGTGAACACATCGCTTTGGGGGTGGTCCAACCTTGGTGAGACAAAGCCTCCTCCTCTTTGTGCCCGAGACATCAGGGCTGCTTGTGCAGCTCAGGATCCAGCACTAACTTAGGGTGGGGGCCCTGGTGCCTAGGAAATGGATAGCGCAACTTTACCTTCTTCACCTCTTAAAAGAGTTCAGCATTTGGCTGGGGCTGTACGCGGTGCGGGAGCTGGCTTGGTGTGATTCTGAGTCGACCATGACTTAGAGTGACTAGAAGCAACAGATGTAATGTCGCTCTTCTGCAGAGAGTAGCGCATGGATTGTGACGACTTCTGGGCTGCTATGAAACACTCAGCGAAGCTATCCACTGCAGAACCAAATAAGCCAGAGTGAGAGATAGGGGAGTCCAGGTGGGATGTCTGGTCAGCATCCTTGATCTTTGTTAGATTTAACCAAAGCTGGCACTTTCGGACCAGGAAATATGCTGTGGCACGCCCAATTGCTTGTAGTGATGTCAGGTTCGTGAATGAATCATTCTTTCGAACCAGTTCACTAAATCAGACTGAATCAATCAAAAAAGCGGAGCCACCATAATTTTTAACATTAATAGGCTTTAAATTTAAGTTACCTTGAAACAATCTTCAAATAAACCCCTTATAATAAGTGTCACATTTATCTGTGCCTTTAATAAAGTGTGTTGTATATAGTAGTATAGTGGTGTTTCTGTCTCTGTCAGTATCAGCTCTCTCTCTGCTATCAGTTAATTTTTCCCCACTAAGTTTATTTTGCACATTAAGTTGTGTGTGGTGTGTTTTTCCAGGCCGTATGTCTACGCTGTCCACTCAGAACAGCCGGATACTTACGGACACATCTTGGGCCCGCTGAGCAACGAGGTGAAACACACACACACACTTTGATTAGTATCTGACATTTAGATGAGGGTAAATATGACATTGGTTTTAACTCTGAGAATAGAGGAGTTTGAAGATGACTAGTGTACTTGCTACCAAGTGTATCAGTCAAGATCAAGTCTACAACCCTGTTTCCAATACTACTGAATGAACAAACCTGTGTGAAATGAAATTCAAGTTTCAAAAGAAGACTTACTGTGCGTGAATTTGGTTGTCAGTTTCAATAGTATTCTAGTGAAGTGTAAATTCTTCATATCAGTAGTAATGACGTACTTTACACTCCTGCTCATGACCAAACAGCCGTTTGAGAGTGTTTTACTGCGTGTGTGTGTGTTGGGACAGCTGGATAACACGCTCAGGAAGATCGATAACATCATCGGTCAGCTGATGAACGGGCTGAAACAGATGAACCTCCATCGCTGTGTGAACTTCATGCTGGTGGGCGATCACGGTACATATGTTATAATCTACAGTGAGAAATAAATACTTCGGATTCTGCCCTAAACCTCTAATCTAATGTATGATGGCCTGGTAAGACTCAGATCTCACGGCTCATTTGACAGCAGATGCTCCGTGTCTTTGTGTTCAGGGATGGAGGAATCTCACTGTGAACGAACAGAGTATTTGGGCTCTTATGGACTCGATGTTGATGCCATCACATTAACACCAGGATCCTCCGGTAGAATCGGCCCTAAAACTGCCAACACACCATGTGAGTTAATGCATTCATCCAACTTAAACTAATTGTAAAAACTACAGACTAATACAGTTTTTTAGACAATATATATAACTATTTAACCTTTTGAGAATGTTTTTCTGAATTTGTAGACATTCTTCAGCAATTTTGCTAACAAAGTATGGAGACTGTGTCATAATTTTACTCCAAATTACCAAATTATTGAACCAAAACACATGAATGATGGTAAATTGTTTCTACTAGTAAAACTGAAGGATTAAATAGTAAACCATATTTTCTCCGCTTAAAAACATTGCCTTAACGTCACAATTTCCACAATGTATACAACGGTTACATATGGTACAGCAGGATGTTTTTCCTCGAGTACAGATGTTTTCAGTAGTATTCTAGGAAAGTGTCACATTTTTCAAAACAGTGTCAATTAAGTACTTTACTACAGTTTTAGAAGAAACTGATACTTCTAAAACCTTTACATGGCTGATTTTATTGACGCACCTCTTCATGTTTCAGACAATCCGAAGGAGATTGTAGCTAATTTAACAGTAAGTATATAAATCACAGAAAACCACTGTTGTGTTTGTGCATAGTGCATCATGTGACCTTTGACCCTTCCCGTTTCAGTGTAAGATGCCCAATCAGCACTTCAAGCCGTACCTGAAGCAGCACCTGCCCAAACGCCTGCACTACGCCAACAACAGACGCATCGAGGACGTGCACCTGCTCATGGACCGCAAGTGGCACGTGGCCATGTGAGTACCAGTGTGTGTGTGTGTGTGTGTGTCTGAGACCGTTCAGCACTAGAAGTGAGCCAGTTAGCTTTATATAAAAACAACAAGTCTATTATAGTCGACACTTTAGAAAAACTGAGTATACGGTACGTTTAGAGTGAAGTTTTTCCTTTGAGGTTTCCTTTGTGTAAACAGCCCCTTAGTCAGTACTATGGTCATCATTTAACAACAAATTAAATTTCTCCACAAAAACCATTTTAGCAGACATTTAGAGGGAAGTGTGCCGTGTGAAGTGGAACTCAAGTGATGTTTTAATATGTTTGTGTTTGAGAGCAGAACACCTGCTACCTGCGGCTACTTTGGAGATCACGGGTTTGACAACAAGATCAGCAGCATGCAGGTCAGTCAATCAATCAATCAATCAATCAATCAATCAGTCAATCAATCAGTCAATCAATCAGTCAGTCAATCAATCAATCAATCAATCAGTCAATCAATCAGTCAATCAATCAGTCAGTCAGTCAGTCAGTCAATCAGTCAATCAATCAATCAATCAGTCAATCAATCAGTCAGTCAGTCAGTCAATCAATCAATCAATCAATACATTCATCTATATATTATTCAAATCAATTCAATCTATCTATCTTTCATTCGCTATGTCTATCATTCTATATACCTATCTATGTATCTGTCTGTCTGTCCATCCATGAATGTTTCCGTTGTGTTTTTCTCATAGACGATCTTTATGGGATTTGGACCGAGCTTCAATTTCAAGACACAAGTGCCTGTTTTTGAGAACATTGAACTGTATAACGTCATGTGTGGTGAGTAAATCCTGACGCGTTTCTTAAGAGTATTTGATCATGAGAATCATGACAGATTACAGTCCCGCCAGGATTTCACGATTTTTTTATGTGATTTTTGCGAAAAAAATGACTGATTTTGTGGTGGTAATTTCCAAAAATTTGTGAAAAAATTTGCGATTTTATAATTAGGACATCACATTTACCATAATAGTATTATGTCAGATGCACAATAGTCATACATGACACAAATCACAAACAAAATGCATAAAGCTTGTTTATTTGGTCTAATCAATTTCTTTTTTTTAAATTGTGCTGTAGCCTATTGTTGTTGCTTGATTAACATTAACAACAGCAGGTAAATAAGGTTACTGTCACTTTAAGACCTACTACAGTAATGACAAACGTCCCAATCAGTTATTACTGATTGTTTTACGTAAATACTTGCCAAGATGAATATTTTGAAGTAATTGTAGCTATGTGTATTTGTTTAAGCGCTATAAAGAGAATTCAATATTCTAACTAGGCCGACAGGGGGTGACATGCAGTCAGTCAGTCAGTCAGTCAGTCAGTCAGTCACACACACACACACACACACACACTTGCAGTCAGAGACAGACTGTCACTCGACTGACTGAAATTAGTTCTCTTTCACGGTATACTGCGCTTTTAATAATTCTTTTTAGTACCATCGAGCATATATATATATTTTTTTATGTCATTCAATCATGTTAAACGCGTTAATAAGTTTGCCGTACTGCCTAATGAAAACCTGGGCGCTGAGAGGGCAGGAGAGACGCTTTTTTTCTTTCGTCATGTTTCTGACAGACCGCTCACAGACATCACGCGTGCGCAACATCTATTCTGTAATCTGTACCCACGTAAAAATGCATTGAAACTTTAATTAACTAGAGATATTTCAATTGGGTGATTATAATTTAATGTTTTGTGAGGACTTTTTTTGAATTTTTGTGATTATTTTGCGGTTAAATTAGGAATTATGCAGGATCGCAAAAAAATGCGACATTTTGTTGATTTTGCATTGTATTCAGCGATCGCAGAATCGCGAAAAACTGGAGGGACTGAAATTAATGCAGCATCTGTGTGTGTGTGTGTAGATCTTCTGGGTTTGACTCCGGCACCTAATAACGGGACACACGGCAGTCTGAATGACATGTTGAGAAACCCTACATATACTCCTACTCAGCCAGAGGAAGTGACATCACCAACGCCTTTAGCCCCGCCCTCTGAAGTGACCTATGACCTGAGCTGTAACTGTGATGATGAGGTCAGTGACACACGTGATGTATCACACACACACACACACACACGTGTTCTCTACAGGTCAGTGGATTGAGTCTCTTCTCGTTCACAGAACAACATTGAAGAAAGTTCTCAGACGTTTCCTCCTGCGGCCGATGGACCATCGAACAGTTAAGATCGGTTTCAGTTTCACACGCTCTCATCCCTAATAACAGGTCATGTGATGATGGGATGCAGGGACAGGAATAATTATATCAAATAATATCATTTTCTTTGTTTAAATGTATTATTACTATTATTATTTGTATGTATTCTTTGCATTTGCTTTGTGAATTTTGTCACTATATATATATATATATATAAGTAAGCTAGAGAAGAGGAGACCTCTTAATTTAACCAAAAAACCTTGAGAAGTAAACCTTTAACAATGATAATAGTTTAACAATGGAAACAATAGTTTAAAACCCTTTCACGGCTTTTTTTTTTTAATATCAACTGCAAATTTGAAACACAACTTGGTTAGACATTTGGCTTTGATTTTCTAGCCATTTTAAATCCAAATTATTTAGTAAAATACCTATTTTGTATAAAATAAAAAATGTTTAGTTCAGTACATTTGCTTTACAGTAAAATTACATTTCTGTTACTTTTTTCACACTTTCATTTTTTGAAGTGCTTTCACTTCTTTAAAAAGAGACTGTGTTCCAAAGCATTCATGAATTACAATCATATAAGTTCAGACCTATGATCAAAAACGGCGGTGACAGTCAACAGGTTAATATTATTTCTATGTAATATGTTAGGAAATGAGAAATGAACTGATTCTCAAAGCAGAGTAAATGAATGAATCTCTTGACCGTGTGTGTGTGTGTGTGCAGACGTCACACACCTGCCGTTCGGTCGTCCAGCTGTTCTCTTCCAGACGTCGTACACACTGCTGTGTCAGTCCGATTATTGCAGCGGCTTCAGTCACGCCATCAACATGCCGTTGTGGAGCGAGTTCACGCTGACAGCACAGGTGCACAAACCACTGCGTTTACACACACACATGTTCCTCTGAGGCGTTTCAGTGTTTCAGTGTTTCAGTGTGTGTGTGTGTGTGTGCAGGTGGAGGTGGCGGCGGTGTCGTCCAGCGAGTGTGTGAGAGCAGATCCTCGTCTCGATCTCACACACACATGCAACACGTACAGCCAGGAGTCCGGCGTCACACACGCGTTCCTCTACCCGCCGGGTCAGTCACACACACTTCTCTTGTTCTTAGAGGTTATTTTATGACACTGAATGTAAAAATAAGCCCAATGATGTCTAATTTAAGGCTAAACACCACAGGTGAACGGGGTAAAACTCTTAACTAATTTATATCAACATAATTTCCCCAGTTTACTTATTTATAATTTTTTACTTAATAATTCATTACTTCACTACTTATAATTGATGTATTAAGTACATTAAGATAGTTGTTTTGTATTACAATTTTTATAAAATGTTGAATGTTTAAAAATAAAAAAGGCTTTTTTTCTTTTACTAAATATGCACTAATTTGCATAAAATTCCAGAACATTAATATGAACATTGATTGAAGCAAGGTTCAAATTTGTTGACTGATTAGAATTAAAGGTTTTTACTGTGGGGATTTTGGATTTCTCTCTTTATCACTCCATAAACACTTTCAACAGAAAAAAATAATACTTTCACCATGTTTTAGGAGTAAAAAGTTACAAATATAACCAGGCGAATGATATATGAAAAATCCCCTCAGTAAAAACCTTCAGAATTTAGAAAGGAATAAAACTGTAAGTTTTGGTGTATATAAGTGATTCTGAAGTGGAGAAAAAATTCGATTTGTAAAAACCGCCTTTAAAGATGTGTATTTTAATTGAAATCTACAGATGCACATAATGTAATAAAACAAAGACTAAATGTGATTTTTGTTTTCTCTCAACTAGTCTGAAAGGACATAACAATGTTTTTTCCTTAAATGAGCAATGGCGTAGCTCCAGGTAAACCTGACACACGCGTGTTGAAGGACTGATGTTGATTTCTCTGCAGATTTCTCTGTTACGGCTGAATCCAGATATGATGCTTCTCTGATCACGAACACAGTTCCCATGTATCCTGCCTTCAAGAGTGAGTCTGACGCTGCAAAGTATCAAAATGAATTAGCAAAATATAATTCACAAGTGCATGAACTGATTCATGTTGGCAGAAAAACTGCAGTTTCTGCCCAAACGTTGAGTGAGGCGTTTGAGAGATCAGCTGGGTTGAAAACTCACATCTGATTGGCTAAAAACAACTTCAGCTTAAAAAGAAACAGCTTGAGGAGGGTCTGAAATCCAGAGCAAGCCACACACACACACACACACACACACACACACATACACACAACGATGATCAATTCATACACATAAAATAATTCAGAGATGTGCGAAACGTACTTGTGCATTTATAACCTGTGCTTTGCATTTGTGATTACTGTTCTGCATGATTATTCATATTTTAATCTTGATCATGATTTCTGCTTGAATGAAAATTAAAAGTATAAAACCAACATAAATTATAGTAGCATTTATTATAAACAATATTTATTATAAACATCAAGCCTAAACGAATTATTGACAGCGAAACTCATCATTCGGCACCAATACAGATGTGTGCATGTTTTGTGTGCTTGGCTTTAATTGCATTATATATGTTGCTTTGGAATAAAAGTCAAAGCATGTTTTCAGATTATAAAAAACACCATTTTTATATTCCTGAAAGAACATGCATTTGTGAATCACACTTTTAATGATAAAATTAATTTAGACTATTTAAGATTCATACACTGCTGCACTTCAGCATGAGATTGATCAAATGTCACATATCAGAATAAACGTGTTGAGAAATGAGACTAACTAAACTCTGTGTGTGTGTGTGTGTGTGTAGAGGTGTGGCGTCACCTGCAGAGAGTCGTGCTCAGGCGATACAGTCAGGAGAATAATGGTGTGAATGTGATCATGGGACCCATATTTGATCACGACCACGACGGACTGAGAGACACGGAGGAGACGATTAAAGAGTGAGAATCACACACACACACACACACCTAATTATTCAAATATTTTTTATACAAATTGTATATTTAAATAATTTTTTATTTAAATATAATTTATTACTATTTCATACAATTATTTAATAATATAAAATATAATAAAATCAAAATGTTTATTCCTAGTGGAGACATGCTGTGGATCCGTCTGACACTCGTGTTATTTTTATGAACATGTTTATCAAGTTCAAATTATGTTAAATTAAATTATTATTTTAAATATAAATATCTACATCTATGTAACTTTATTATACAGTATATACTTATATATATTTATATACATTTAATTATTTATGTATTGAATAATTTATTCAGATAATTAATTAGTATTAAATCTTATCTAATATTTTATATAATTATTTAATAATGTAAAATATTATTTTATTATTTTAGAATTAAGTCTTTATATATATGAATTAATTATATTATAAATATATATTTATATGATTGTATCATAAATATGTCATTATTATTTATTAATTGTATTATTTGACATATATAAGTAATATATTAATAATAATATTTATACATAATAATATTTATTATGTATAACTATATTTCTAATTAATTAAATATTTAAATAATTTATTATAAATTTTTTATATGATTTAGTATTTATCTATTTATGCGTGTGTGTGTGTGTGTCAGGCATGCGGTCGGCTCCGTCTCCATCCCCACGCACTTCTACAGCCTCATCATCAGCTGTGAGGAGCTCAACGGCACACTGGACGAGTGTGATGGAGGACTGAGAGTCACGAGCTTCATTCTGCCTCACAGAGAGGACAACAGCGAGAGCTGCAACGTCAGTAACACACACACACACACACACACACACACTGATACTTATACTGAGCTGATACTCACAGAAAAAGTTTTGCATTTGTGTTTCAAATTTGTTCATCTATTACATCTGTATTACATTTACATATACATGTAGGAACAACTAAATCCACACACATGCACAAATCACACTTATAAATGTGTTTTGATTAAATTTTATCATTTGACACTGAAAACTGATCAATTGAAATGAAATTTATGAAAATTTAGCAGGAATAAATTACATTTAACCAAATATTCAGTTAAAAAACAGCTATTATAAATAATTATTTTATAAATAATGCATGTGTGTGAATTAGGCTAAAATGCTTCGAAGTTCTCCTGTGTGTATAAATGCGAATAATGCACATAATTATCATTAGTCTAACCTAACCTAGTGTTTAGCATGTTTATTTATGAGGTTTGACCAGCAGATGGAGCCATTTAGAGTCCAAAGAAACCAGACCACAACAAAACCACACACACACACACACACAGAGTTAGCTGTTATTTAGGCTGCAGTGACACTGCTTTATGATTCACAAGTGATGGTGTAATTTTTTCTGGGAATATCTAACATTTCTTCAAACTGGAAAATAACATGTTTTGGTGAAGTGTGCAGTGACAGGATCAGATGCCGGTCGTCAGCGGTGGATCAGTTCTGGAGTAAAACCCTCATAATAGCAGCTCGCCTCACCTTTACACCGGTTACACAATTCACACCTAACCATTTACACCGGTTACACAACTCACCGGTTACACAACTCACACCTAACCATTTACACCGGTTACACAACTCACACCTAACCATTTACACAAGGGTGTGTGATTATATGGGGCTATTTTAATTATTTTATTAATTATTTATTTATTTTTGAATGTTTGAATATTTGAATGTTTGAATACTTAAACTTTGGATAGTTGAATTCTTAGCCGCTGTAACGGGCCCTTGTGTCCCGCAGAGCGCTGAGGACGAGTCCCGCTGGGTGGAGGAGCTGCTGCAGTTACACACCGCACGCGTGCGGGACGTGGAGCTGCTCACGGGCCTGGACTTCTGCCGCTCCACCGGCCTGCCGTACACACGCGTGCTGGCGCTCAAAACACACATGAGGACCTTCGAGGACGACGGCTGACGGACCGCCTCACACCCCCCGCACCTGACGCTGTCACTGTATAGTTTTATACACTGTGTCATATTTATTATTCACCTAAGAGCTAATAATGATGAAGCCGTCTCACATCGACAGTCCCACTTCAGCGTTTCCTCCGCGCAGTGACAGAGCCTTCACGCCACGCCGGGGTCACCGCACTATCCCACTATATAACGACTAGCTTTGATTTTTCATAAATCTGAAAATAAATAAAAGACATACGATGCAGTCACTATAGCACAGATCTGCATAACTATCTAATGTCTCGCTAAATAAACGATACGTTTATTAATAATTCATTTGCATAATGACTTGGTAACACTTTACAAAAGGTTGCATTTGTTAACATTAGTTAAATAACATGAACTAACACTAGAGAAATGCTGCGTTTATTAATCATGCACTGCAATAACTGCTGTTCTTCCTCCGAGTTTCTGTCTCGTTTTCCAGCACAAATATCTAAACATTCTCAAGACACTTTTACTGGAGAAGAACAGTGACTGTTTACTGAGAAATCATCAACATGAAGTGAGTTTGTGCTTAAAACTAGAACTAATATCTGCCAATGGAGTCAGGAATATAATCTCGTGCTTTGGATTAAGTTTATTTTTCTGACTCCATCGGCAGATTTTTGTTGTAAGAATGTTTATTTGTACTGCAAAACAAGACAGAAATACGTAGTGTAATGTTCATTTTGCCGTTTTGTCTGTTGATCAAATTCAAATTGCACAGATTTATTTGGTGTTAATAGTGTTGCCGTAGAAACGCTTATTTCCGAGTTTGAGGTTGTCATTTAGTAATTACGGTAATTACGACGTGGCGTGATCGCAGCATAAACACAGAGAGTGTGTGTGTGTGTGTGTGTGTAGTAGTAGTATTCCCAGATAGCACACGTACATCACGGAGACGTCTATTTGATGTGTGTGTTTACATCTGGAAGACGTATTATTTAGAGTGTTTGCTCATCTGCAATACGTCTATGTTTCCTGTCAGATGTCAAATAGACATTTAGAAGATGTCTTTAAGATGTAATGATTTAGAATGTATGTTAAAATCAGATGTTAGTAAACAGCAGATGCTTTCCAGATGATGATCTTTAACGTGTGCTATCTGGGTTTGTCCTGCTGGTTTATTTCTGTCCACTCTGGATTGGTCTTTAGCACGTGTAAACATGAGTAAACAAGCGTGTGAACGGTGTATTTGTGCGTGTTTAGTGATACATTAGCGACAGTGAATCACTGCTTCCCATTGGTGGCAGAAGGTCATGTGACTCATGATTCTCAGCGAGTGATGCTCTGTCTTACTAATGAGTGTCTTAATGATTTCGTTCCGTCAATAAAATTCTTGAACTGTCAGTGAAACATGGTGTGTGTCACTTGTTGCTGTTCACATATGCGCGCGTATGTATGTGTGTGTGTGAGAGAGAGAGTGTGTTTCACTCTCTGCTCTTTTTATGAGATGGCAGATACGGGTCTGATAATCAGCAGTGAAACATTAACACATGTATGCGTTTCTCCAGAATCTCCTCATATTCACAATATCTGAACTCGGATGATCTCGTTCTGAAGTTTCCTTTATACTTTATGAGCTCGTACACTGAACAAACATTTGGTGTAGGATTTACTTTGAAACAATTTTTGCTCAGAAATTACTAGTAAATTTCACAAATAATGACAAAGAAACAGCAAGATGTTACTTGCTGTTTCTTTGTCATTATTTGTGAAATTTACTAATAAAATAAAGTGAAAAAACTTTGAAAATAAAGTGTATTCTCATATTATTTTATTGCTCCATGGTAAAACACAAAACATTTCATTTTCTTCTTTACATAATTTAAATTCCCATGTGCAAAAGGGAGCAGAAAGAAGATAAAATCTTATAATATATGTCCCCTATTCCAAAATACAAAATAACTTTCTTAAGCAGCTTACAGCCGAAATTACACTGACAAAAAACAATGTTGGTTTAAATAACAGCAATTCATGCAGTATAAAAAATCAGGCAATGCCCAGACAGCAAAACAACAAGTAATCCAATACATTATAGAGAAAAACAAAACAAGACAACAACATGGATCTCACCATTTTAATACTAACCGAATTTACTTTGCTTATATCTCTGCTTATACTAACCGATATTATTAGACCCAATAAAAAAATAAAAAAAAACACAACAACAAACCAAACCAAACAAATCCAGAAGCAACATGAACCTCACCATATTAATACTCACTGAATATACTCTGTTTATACTTATACTTAAACTGACCAATGTTACTACAACTTTTAAGATTATCATGCAATGAGTTCCACAATTTTACTCCCATAACTGAGGGGCACATTTGTTTTGTAGTCGTACGTGCAAATTGGTCTTTAAAATGATATCTTCTCCTACTGTACTCTTTTTCTAACTGATAATAATGTTGTATTTTCTCTGGTAAGATTTTCAGTCTTACTTTAAACAATATTATTAGTGTTTGAAACTTAGCCAAATCTTCTAGCTTTAATATTCTGGATTTAGCAAACAATTTGCTTGCATGTTCTCGATAATTAACCTTATGAATAATTCTTATAGCTCTCTTCTGTAGAATAGATAAAGGTTTTAAATGTGTCTGATATGTGTTCCCCCAGACTTCTATGCAATAAATCAAATATGGTATGATGAGTGAACTATAAAGTATTTTCATTGTTTCCTTATTTAATACCTCCTTCACTCTGTTTAAAACAAAAATATTTTGGGAAATTTTTCTTTTAATGTGTGCTATGTGAGGTTTCCATGTTAATTTATCATCCATAATTACACCAAGAAAACGAAACTCAAACACTCTCTCAATATCAACTCCATCTATGGATAAAGCTACAGATTTGTTTATTTTTTTCTATTTCCAAAGACCATAAACTTTGTCTTTTCTAAATTCAATGACAATTTTTTCGGTTTTGTCATTTCATATTCAATAGATTCTAGTTTCTGTATATTATTTCCAGAGCTGAAGAAATTAGTATCATCTGCAAATAAAACAAACTGTAATAATTTGGAAACATCACAAATGTCATTAATATATAAAAGAAAAAGTTTAGGTCCCAAAATAGAACCCTGTGGTACCCCACATTTAATTTGCATAAGTTCAGATTTGACATCAGTTAACTACATATTGTGTCCTGTTATTCAGATAACTTCTCAACCATTTTAGGGCCATTCCTCTCATTCCATACAAACTTAATTTAGAAAGTAAAATTTCATGATCCAAAGTATCAAATGCCTTTTTCAAATCAACAAACACTCCTACTGTGAATTTCTTTTCATCTATTGCTGTTGTTATTTCTTCAACAATATTCATTAAGGCAGTCTTAATTGAGGGGATGTTTGTACTCCCATAAACTGATCCGAGGATCATTCCAGCTGCTGTCTGACGGCCGAGACTCGAGAGGTCAGAGGTCATCACAGCTCGAGCGGAACACACTTATAGTTTCAGTTTACTGCAAAGTACTATTGTACAGGGGCGTCACTAGGATTTTCATTTTAGGGGGGCTAAGCCCCCAATATGATTTTAAAACAAATTATAAAAAAAGGTAACACTTTAGTTTAGGATCTAAAGATCACTATTAACCATTTTCATTACGATGCAAAGGCACGGTTTTATAATAACTGTGGTCCCAAATGTGAGGCAGGGCAAATAGGGGGGTTCGTGGTCTCCCCGAGAAAATTTTGATTTCTCTGATCTACATATGTGCATTTTAAGATGTTCTGAAGGCCAAAAAACTTGGATAGTGGGCAGCTGATAATTTTTCTCTCCTCATCAGCAGCATCACTCTTTTTCTCTTTGTTTTTCTCTTGCCCTGTCTCTTCCCCTCCTAAAGCTGAGCTTTGACTGATATAGGCTTTTTAATTTTTGTCTGTCAGTGAAGAAAGTAAACATAGGGTCAACTGATAGGTTGATTTTGCCTATGAATCATTTTCTCAGACGCGTTTATTTACTGAAAGCTACTAAAGGTAATTAAGTTTATTAAATGCATTCACAATATGTAGGCTACACATTTATTATTAATCTTATGCCTAATACAGGGCCGTAGACAGGGCTTTATAATCACAGAGGTCCTAAATTTGAGGTTGGTAGGGGGTTCAAATTTTTTATTTCTGATATGTGCATTTCAAGACGTTTGAAGACCAAAAAATTTATTTTTTGTCATTCGTTTAACATTTATGACCTAAAAAAGGTAAAATATGAAATGTTAAGTTTAGCGACTTACATCTTATCTCGCACTTGACCGTACGCGTCGAGTCCATAGACTGTAAAAAATGGTCGTGTCGCACTGTTAAAATTCACGCTCAGCAGCGTCTGTGAACATAAAGCCCGCCTACTTTGATTTGATTGGTCGTCTCTGACATTGACGAGCAGTGACAGACCAATGAGGCTCAGATGAACACACACATGAACACACACACCCTGTCCTCTGTTTCTGACGTGCTCTCTGCACGGCGCAGCTGTGGATTGAGAACGTGCTGAATCTGATTATAACAAGACTGAAGCGAACACGAATTTGTGTAGCCTACATTAATCTCACATTTTTAGGGGGGCTTGGCAGAAGTTTAGGGGGGCTGAAGCCCCCCTAAAAAGGGCCTAGTGACGCCCCTGCTATTGTATACATTTATTTGTACAAAATTACTTGGACTCTAATAAAGTTAATATCATTCAAATATCATTATCATTAAAAGTAGTATGTAAAGTATTTTAAAAAAGGATTTAAAGTAGTATTTCATGGAAACGCAGTCTAACTTAGAAACGTTTTCACTGCATGAGTTTTGAGTGTTTAAATTTATGATGATTACTAAAATAGTCAAACTTTTGCCAATTTCTCCTTTATGCCAGTAAACGTGATTCTGTTGATGTGTGTGTGTGTGTGTGAGCTACTGTTCACAACACAGTCCAGAGTTCACTCTCACACTCACTCAGACACACACACTCACACACACACACACACACACTCCTGCAGAAGGTCTAGCGGTGTCTTCGAGTCTCTGCTCAGTTTCTTCTGGACGTCACGATGGATTTCAAGAACACGAAGAAAAAGAAGATTCTTCTGGTGAGTTGAGACTCCTCTTTTGCTCATTATTGTTGAATCAATCATATAAATCCTCCTGTGAGATCCTACAGGATACACACACACACACACACACACACACACCAGGGGCCTGCAGATATGTGTTCTGGTTTAAAACTTTATTTTGATACATTTCTCATAAAACAAGACTTAATGTCTGAAGTATTTTGCTTCCCCAGTAAATGTATCTTGGTTTAAGAATGATTTGTGCTGGAAAGATGAAAGTATAAAACACATTTTTGCAGTGTAACGCACAGATTCTCCGGTGAGTTCAGTATAATACAGTGCAGTGAAGTGTCGAAATACAAAGTCTGAACCGGTTTTATGGACATAAACCTGACGGTGTGTGTGTGAGAAACAGAAGATCCTCGTCCACCTGTCGCAGGCAATATGTTAGATCAGAACAAAGGAACACACGTGACTAACGAACACACACAGAACGTCCATAATATCTAAAACAAACAGAACATAATGGTGACAATTATATGGTTATTTAAATTATGAAATCAATTTGTAAGTATGCAACACAGAGGAGATTGTAAATACAATGTGTTTTTGTCTGACCCTGATTTACGATGGTGAGCCTGTTATAAGTGTTTATATTTTAGACCTGACGGGTTTGGTGGGAAATTGCGTCATTCGTCCCTCGCTCGTGTGTCGTCATATTCATAAATAGAGTAAAGTTATATATTCATCCGCACAGAGCCGAAGCACAACAATGTTCTTCTGCAAAATGCATGCAGTTTGTTTTTTAACCTCTAGAGGGCCAAAAGTCGTGTACCATTAAATGTTGTCTCAGTTGCACAAACACAGCCACTATATTAAAGAAGTTTATTAAGAACTAGTCCACTAGAAGTTAGTCAAGGGTTGATCACTCACTCCCATTCAGATTCTATGCTTTAATGGAGATGACTTAAAAAGTGATGACAAATCTTAAAAAACAAGAATTAGAAAACCTACTCGTCAGACTAATCTAAACAGTTTCTGCAAACGACCCATAGTGTGCAGATTCCTTACAGTCTCTGAGTGATCATATAATACTGGCTAATAGTATCAGCAGGAATCCTGTACATGTTCATTTAGTCTTTATTGATGTATTCAGAACTGAATGTGAAGCCTGTGATGTTTTAATCTCTCTCTCTCTCTGTGTGTGTGTGTGTGCAGTTGTCAGTGCTGTTGGCGGTGTGTGTGCTCGTGATTATTCTGGGTTTGGGTCTCGGTCTCGGTCTCCAGCTGCAAGACTGCAGGAATAAAGGTGAGAAACAAGTTAGATATCACACCTAGTATTTTGCTTAAAGAAAATGATATAAAATCAAAAGAAAATCAAATCCATATGTCTAACCAAGTTGTGCTCAAATTTAAAGTAGATTAAAAATTAGAAAAAAGTACTGTTTCTATGGTAACACAATGTCCATTTTCTAAACTGTTTTCACAGGATAAACTTTGAGTGTATACACAAGAATAATTGTAAATAATCAAAAATTAATCAATAATAATTGCATTTCAATAGCATATTTTAGTTTTAAAAAAAAAGGTTCATTAATGTATTAAATAATTTGACATTGTTTTTTCTTTTTCTTGTATTGATTTTGTAGTAAAACAATGACCTGAGGCTGTTTTGATGCGCATAGTTGCTAAGCAGGGGTGTGTGTCCCGAAAGCATCGTTCAAACTAACATTCACAAACAGCCTCGCAGAGGTGTGTGTGTGAGCGACAGATCTCGAGCTGCAGTTTCCAGTTTTAATGACATGTGGACTCAATTACTCCTGATCTTGAGCAAAATAAGCAAGCTGACATTCAGTACAACCTGTGTCTTTCATTTAGAATACATACTAATGTCATTTACGTCTTTTAGTTGGCAAGAGATTTAACACACATTTTTAAAGAGTGAGCATGTGTGCATCATTAACCAATGTGGTTGAACGACCAATTTGCAACATTATGGTTTCAGGAAACAGTCGTGACTAGTTGATTTCTCCAATGAGGCATCATACTATAGTAGTACGGCGTTGTACGGGAAACACACCCCAGGATAGGATTCTGAGTCTAGATGTTTCCGTGTGTGTGTGTGTGTGTGTGTGTGTGTGTGTGTGTGTGTGTGTGTGTGTGTGTGTGTGTGTGTGTGTCAGGAGTGTCAGCGTCCTGCAGGAACCGTTGCTACGAGCCGTTCGATGCGGATCCTCCCTCCTGTCGCTGTGACAGTCAGTGTGTGGACACTGGCAGCTGTTGCTATGACTACCAGGACATCTGCCTCCTGCCCAGTGAGTGACAGTCTCACACTGATACTGCGGTGTACCTGTGTGTTATCTGAGCATCTGCTCGTTCTGTAAACAGCTTTACACGTACTTACAGATAGTTACATGTCCGTCCCTCACAGACACCAAGCTAAAGTTAGCAACTTTGGCAGACATTCAACTAATACTGCAAATAAACAGCAGTTCTTCCTCAGTGTTTCTGTCTTGTTTTCCAGCACAAATATCTAAACATTCTTAAATCGAGACACATTTACTGAAGAAGCGGAATGACTGAAGATATAAAAAAGAATATTAACATGAATAGAATCGAGCTGGAGGTCAGATTAGTGTCTGTGCAGTAATGTTACTGACGTACTGACGTTACTGACGTTACTGACGTTACTGAGGTTACTGACGTACTGAGGTTACTGACGTACTGACGTTACTGACGTACTGAGGTTACTGACGTTACTGACGTTACTGAGGTTACTGACGTACTGACGTTACTAACGTTACTGACGTACTGACGTTACTGACGTTACTGACGTTACTGAGGTTACTGACGTTACTGACGTTACTGAGGTTACTGAGGTTACTGAGGTTACTGATGTTACTGAGGTTACTGAGGTTACTGAGGTTACTGACATTACTGAGGTTACTGACGTTACTGACGTACTGACGTTACTGAGGTTACTGACGTTACTGAGGTTACTGAGGTTACTGACGTTACTGAGGTTACTGAGGTTACTGACGTTACTGACGTTACTGAGGTTACTGACGTTACTGAGGTTACTGAGGTTACTGAGGTTACTGACGTTACTGACGTTACTGACGTTACTGAGGTTACTGACGTTACTGACGTTACTGACGTTACTGACGTTACTGAGGTTACTGACGTTACTGACGTTACTGAGGTTACTGACGTTACTGAGGTTACTGAGGTTACTGACGTTACTGAGGTTACTGACGTTACTGAGGTTACTGAGGTTACTGACGTTACTGAGGTTACTGAGGTTACTGACGTTACTGAGGTTACTGAGGTTACTGAGGTTACTGACGTTACTGACGTTACTGAGGTTACTGAGGTTACTGAGGTTACTGACGTTACTGAGGTTACTGACGTTACTGAGGTTACTGACGTTACTGACGTTACTGAGGTTACTGAGGTTACTGAGGTTACTGACGTTACTGAGGTTACTGACGTTACTGAGGTTACTGAGGTTACTGAGGTTACTGAGGTTACTGACGTTACTGAGGTTACTGAGGTTACTGACGTTACTGAGGTTACTGACGTTACTGAGGTTACTGAGGTTACTGACGTTACTGAGGTTACTGAGGTTACTGACGTTACTGAGGTTACTGACGTTACTGAGGTTACTGAGGTTACTGAGGTTACTGAGGTTACTGACGTTACTGAGGTTACTGAGGTTACTGACGTTACTGAGGTTACTGACGTTACTGACGTTACTGAGGTTACTGAGGTTACTGACGTTACTGAGGTTACTGACGTTACTGAGGTTACTGAGGTTACTGAGGTTACTGACGTTACTGAGGTTACTGACGTTACTGACGTTACTGAGGTTACTGAGGTTACTGACGTTACTGACGTTACTGAGGTTACTGACGTTACTGACGTTACTGAGGTTACTGAGGTTACTGAGGTTACTGAGGTTACTGATGTTACTGAGGTTACTGAGGTTACTGAGGTTACTGACATTACTGAGGTTACTGACGTTACTGACGTACTGACGTTACTGAGGTTACTGACGTTACTGAGGTTACTGAGGTTACTGACGTTACTGAGGTTACTGAGGTTACTGACGTTACTGACGTTACTGAGGTTACTGACGTTACTGAGGTTACTGAGGTTACTGAGGTTACTGACGTTACTGACGTTACTGAGGTTACTGAGGTTACTGAGGTTACTGAGGTTACTGACGTTACTGAGGTTACTGAGGTTACTGACGTTACTGAGGTTACTGACGTTACTGACGTTACTGAGGTTACTGAGGTTACTGAGGTTACTGAGGTTACTGACGTTACTGAGGTTACTGACGTTACTGACGTTACTGACGTTACTGAGGTTACTGACGTTACTGACGTTACTGAGGTTACTGACGTTACTGACGTTACTGAGGTTACTGAGGTTACTGACGTTACTGAGGTTACTGAGGTTACTGAGGTTACTGACGTTACTGAGGTTACTGACGTTACTGAGGTTACTGACGTTACTGACGTTACTGAGGTTACTGAGGTTACTGACGTTACTGACGTTACTGACGTTACTGACGTACTGACGTTACTGACGTTACTGAGGTTACTGACGTTACTGAGGTTACTGAGGTTACTGACGTTACTGAGGTTACTGAGGTTACTGACGTTACTGAGGTTACTGAGGTTACTGAGGTTACTGAGGTTACTGAGGTTACTGACGTTACTGAGGTTACTGAGGTTACTGAGGTTACTGAGGTTACTGACGTTACTGAGGTTACTGACGTTACTGACGTTACTGAGGTTACTGAGGTTACTGACGTTACTGACGTTACTGACGTTACTGACGTTACTGAGGTTACTGAGGTTACTGACGTTACTGACGTTACTGAGGTTACTGAGGTTACTGACGTTACTGAGGTTACTGACGTTACTGACGTTACTGAGGTTACTGACGTTACTGACGTTACTGAGGTTACTGACGTTACTGACGTTACTGAGGTTACTGACGTTACTGACGTTACTGAGGTTACTGAGGTTACTGACGTTACTGACGTTACTGAGGTTACTGACGTTACTGACGTTACTGAGGTTACTGACGTTACTGACGTTACTGACGTTACTGACGTTACTGACGTACTGACGTTACTGACGTTACTGAGGTTACTGAGGTTACTGACGTTACTGACGTTACTGAGGTTACTGAGGTTACTGAGGTTACTGACGTTACTGAGGTTACTGACGTTACTGACGTTACTGAGGTTACTGAGGTTACTGAGGTTACTGAGGTTACTGACGTTACTGAGGTTACTGACGTTACTGAGGTTACTGACGTTACTGAGGTTACTGAGGTTACTGACGTTACTGAGGTTACTGACGTTACTGAGGTTACTGAGGTTACTGAGGTTACTGAGGTTACTGACGTTACTGAGGTTACTGACGTTACTGAGGTTACTGACGTTACTGAGGTTACTGAGGTTACTGACGTTACTGAGGTTACTGACGTTACTGAGGTTACTGAGGTTACTGAGGTTACTGAGGTTACTGAGGTTACTGAGGTTACTGACGTTACTGAGGTTACTGACGTTACTGAGGTTACTGAGGTTACTGAGGTTACTGAGGTTACTGACGTTACTGAGGTTACTGAGGTTACTGACGTTACTGAGGTTACTGACGTTACTGAGGTTACTGAGGTTACTGAGGTTACTGAGGTTACTGACGTTACTGAGGTTACTGACGTTACTGAGGTTACTGACGTTACTGAGGTTACTGAGGTTACTGACGTTACTGAGGTTACTGACGTTACTGAGGTTACTGAGGTTACTGAGGTTACTGAGGTTACTGACGTTACTGACGTTACTGACGTTACTGACGTTACTGACGTACTGACGTTACTGACGTTACTGAGGTTACTGAGGTTACTGACGTTACTGACGTTACTGACGTTACTGACGTTACTGAGGTTACTGACGTTACTGAGGTTACTGAGGTTACTGACGTTACTGAGGTTACTGACGTTACTGACGTTACTGACGTTACTGACGTTACTGAGGTTACTGAGGTTACTGAGGTTACTGACGTTACTGACGTTACTGACGTTACTGACGTTACTGAGGTTACTGACGTTACTGAGGTTACTGAGGTTACTGACGTTACTGAGGTTACTGAGGTTACTGACGTTACTGACGTTACTGAGGTTACTGAGTTTACTGAGGTTACTGACGTTACTGAGGTTACTGACGTTACTGAGGTTACTGACGTTACTGAGGTTACTGAGGTTACTGAGGTTACTGACGTTACTGACGTTACTGACGTTACTGAGGTTACTGACGTTACTGACGTTACTGAGGTTACTGACGTTACTGACGTTACTGACGTTACTGAGGTTACTGAGGTTACTGAGGTTACTGACGTTACTGACGTTACTGACGTTACTGACGTTACTGACGTTACTGACGTACTGAGGTTACTGACGTACTGAGGTTACTGAGGTTACTGAGGTTACTGACGTACTGAGGTTACTGAGGTTACTGACGTTACTGACGTACTGACGTTACTGACGTTACTGACGTACTGACGTTACTGACGTACTGAGGTTACTGACGTTACTGACGTTACTGACGTTACTGACGTTACTGACGTTACTGAGGTTACTGAGGTTACTGACGTACTGAGGTTACTGAGGTTACTGACGTACTGAGGTTACTGAGGTTACTGAGGTTACTGACGTTACTGAGGTTACTGAGGTTACTGACGTTACTGAGGTTACTGAGGTTACTGACGTTACTGACGTTACTGAGGTTACTGAGGTTACTGACCTACTGAGGTTACTGAGGTTACTGAGGTTACTGACGTTACTGAGGTTACTGACGTTACTGAGGTTACTGACGTTACTGACGTTACTGAGGTTACTGACGTTACTGAGGTTACTGAGGTTACTGACGTTACTGACGTTACTGAGGTTACTGACCTACTGAGGTTACTGAGGTTACTGAGGTTACTGACGTTACTGAGGTTACTGAGGTTACTGACGTTACTGACGTTACTGAGGTTACTGAGGTTACTGAGGTTACTGACGTTACTGAGGTTACTGACGTTACTGACGTTACTGACGTACTGAGGTGACTGACGTTACTGACGTTACTGACGTTACTGACGTACTGACGTTACTGAGGTTACTGAGGTTACTGACGTTACTGAGGTTACTGAGGTTACTGACGTTACTGAGGTTACTGAGGTTACTGACGTTACTGACGTTACTGAGGTTACTGACGTTACTGAGGTTACTGACGTTACTGAGGTTACTGACGTTACTG